ATCAAAAGAAAAATGCTGTCTCCCAGCGGTCGCGTTCAAGTTATGTGCCAGAAAGAAGGGGAAAAAACATATTTCAGAGGCATTTTTTGCATTAAATTGCTTTTCCGGTTGATTCTCGAGAGTCAAGCTGCTTTTCATGGCTCTACCAAAGATGTGCAGTCACAGGCCAAAAGTTCAGCAAGTTGTTTTCTGAAACAGCACATTCACACAGAGTCACGCTCAGACTGTGTGTGTGTAGATGAGTTGGAGTAAGACTAGAACAATATGAGAGAGGGGCAGAGTGGGTTCATAACAGAAGACGGATAAATCACAAATAGAGACATCTGTCTGTCTATCTGCAGGGTACAAAACTGTACAGTTATTTAAGGTTTAGAAAAAATGTACAAAGATGTATTTATAACAAGATATATAAGATGTATTATAATAAGATGTATTTTAAAATCACACACACACACACACACACACACACTCGAAAAAATGCTGGGTTAAATACAACCCATTGCTGGGTTCGTCCATATTTCACCCAGCATTTTTACGAATGTATATATATTAGGGCTGTGCGATATTGAAGAAAAATGCGATATGCGATAACTCATTAAATAATGCGATATTCGATATGCGATACGATAATGCTTAAAGTGCCACATGCTCAAATGAAACAGTTTTACTCAGCTGTTGCTGAGTCAGTTCTGTGAACTTCTATAACTATCTTGTGTCATATATACAGTATATTGTTATTTGTATGTATGTATGCCAAGAGTTCCTGTAAAACCACAACAAATTCCTTGTTTGCGCACAAGTGATTTTCTCTTTGTCTTTTGTTCATGGCCCCAAATATTGCAAGCTGTAGCGATATGCATATTGCGATATGTACATTTACGATATTTCGATAATTTCGATATATTGCACAGCCCTAAAATATACAGTATATATACCAACTGTATATACAAATATTTATATATTAGTTTATATATTAATGGTTATTTCTCAGAAATTTAACAAGAAATATGTTTGTTAATTTTTATCGTACAGTAAGTTTGGTAACAGAGTTGAATGGCTGGGCTTAACAAACACGTGTAGTGTACTACAGCCTTGTAGTTCGGGACATATTCTTTATATATATACAGTATATACATATACACACACACACACACATACACGTTGCAATAGAAATAAGAATGATCTCATTCACTTCTGTTTCTCATGTTTTATAGATGTATATACCGCTTGAGCATGTTGTAGCAGTTCCATCCTCTCTCTGAGTATCTGCGCATCTCTCTCTCGTAATTCACTCAAGACCTGCCTCTTCCACTGATCCACAGCCTCTCTCAGCGAATCACGGTCCTGCTCGCTCAGCAGCTCGGACAACTTCCCACCCGTCTCCTCCTGCTGCAAAGCGTCAAACAGCATCGCCTCCAACTCAAGGATGCGCTGAGAGAAACACAGAGGGGAGTGGGCCAGAGATGACATGCATTCACCACCAGGGGGCACAGGAGGACAGAACTGCATCTCATAATAGAGTAAAACTCCTCCGCAGTGCTTGAGAATAAAGCATATGGATTATTGGCCATGTACAGTCCTTACCTTATGTGCATGGTCCAAAGACTGCTTTCTGTAGTCTAATTCCTCGTCTAAATATCCTTTTTGTTTGCTAAACAGCTCCTTTGGAGGACATAATTATTTTGATGTAAAAACACATTAACAAATGTCATCCTGCATATATTAGAGAGATTATTATTATTATTATTATATAATTTAAATTATATTAAAATGTTAAATTAAAAATAAGTCTGTTGTTAGGACCATTATTATATAAAAAAATAAATAATAATATTTGTTTGTTTGTTTTCTACTTGGGTAACAGGGTTGAAGAGTTGCAGATGCAACTACAATTTATGCAAATGTGAAAATTAGTGAAAATTAAGATTTTTTTGTATCGAATATCATATTGTTTATAGTAACATTAATATATTTTATATATTGTTTCAGACATTAAATACTATAAATTAAATAAATGACTAAATAATTATATTAACAGTGTTATGTATTTAAAAAAATAACAGTAATAATATTATACATATATATATATATAAAAAAGCAAAATTGAAGCATCTCCACTAGTAGTCTTTTGGGATATCATTGTAGATAGTAAGTCATAATTTAATCAATTAATTAGTAAGATTTCTGTAAAAACTGATTGATTACCTCAAAAAGACCCTCTGGGATTTGAGGGTTGGACCTTTTGCCTGGAGAAACAAAGCGAGACAAAGCTGTAGAACGCAGCACAAAAAGCCCAGGGTTTGCTGATGAGACCAGATAGTTTCACGCTGACTGCAGAGAAAGAGGGAGGGAAAGCACAGTGTGGGAGTAGCTGTATTATTTGCAACATTAGAAATGTGCATATCCTCAACTTCATTACAAAGTACGTGGGTGTTAAGTGTGCCATCTTATCTGACCCGGACAGCTATAACAGACTCCCACTACCACTAAACGTGTGTGTGTGTGTGTGTGATGAGGTGTGCGTGAGAAAAACAGAGCTGCTTCTTTTGTAAATATTAGGCTCAAATACTCTAAATCTCCTGCCTTTATTCTCAACCGCAGAACATGATGATGATTTGCTCCCTATTCGAATCTGGTTGATATATTTAATCTATTTGTGATGACTTAGATCACTGAAGAGACATTGATCTCTAAAAGAAAATCATTTGTTTTCAATCCCTTTCTGTCTGCTTAAACCCTTACGATATGTTTTTCTATTTCAACACATGAGCTATCAAACTGTCCTGTTATTAATTCCCATCTCTGAGGGAGCAGCTGTAATCTACATGATCTTCTTAGCTACCTTGGGTCTGCAGCAGCAGTATCAAGGATGCAGAGCAGATCCGACGGCTCAAATGAGCATCCTCATAGGCTGTGAATCCCACAGCTGTCGACCGTCCCGAAATCCTGTATTAATCAGCGCCTGAAATTCAGCAAATCCTGTTGAAGCAGCGTATTAGCTCTTCCTGGAGCTGTCCTTGGTGCTGATGTTTCGCCATTGCATTCGCTGCTCAGTATGAAGGACTAATATAATGAGAAGTGCTATAAATCACACTTTCAATGTCTCAAAATATCTTTTATGTTCCACAGAAGAAAGAAAAACAGTTTTGGAACAAAATATGGCTGGCAGAAAAACATTTTCAAAACTATTTTTTAATTTTTAGGTGAAAAATTATACTCAGTGATGATGTCATTGTAATGTTTGCCTGAAATGCGCATTGGAGTCTTTTCTCTTTTATTTATTTTCATACTGAATTGTGATTGGTTGTTTTTCTTATATTTATTTTCATACTCAATTGTGATTGGTCTTTTTTCTTATATTTATTTGCATACTGAATTGCTGATTTCTTTTCTTAAATGTAACCATCTATTTTTGCACAAAATCTTATAGGTGATGTGTGTAACTTCAAAAAGAAGAGCAAAAATAATGCAATAATTATTTTCCAATGTTGTAACATTTTAAAGTTGTTGCTGATAACTGATAAATGGGCGATATAAAAAAGTTTTTTTTTCTGAATACATGAAAAATGAAACTATACCACACAAAGGCAAATGAGCCTGTTAGGGAGAGAGAACACACTAGTTAGGCTGCGTATCGAGTGGGTCCCTCGAAGCAGGAGGGGTGATGTGACAGGCCCGCTGAGGCAGGGTGGATCAGGGTCAGCAGTGCTGCTATCGACAGAAACATTACGGAGCGGAAAGAAGCCATTATGGAGAACGGGGGTCTAGGAAAAGTAAAGCCACAAGAACTATCTCTGTAATAATAGGGTGGAGGAAAAACACAGAAAATAACCACTGAGACAAAGAGGAAGATAACAAATCGAGATCTAGAGGAGGAGGAGAAGAGATCGGAAGAGTGGAAACACTAGTCAATGAGAGACTAGGGAGTGAGAGCACCATTAAGGACCTTGTGCAACTTTAATTTACTCTCCATTCTCATAAAGCCACATAATGTCACTATAAAATAAAATAATAGGGAATATAGGGAACTGTGCTAACCAAAAAGAAAAAATAGCTTTAAACAATGGCAAGCATATAAAATGGTGCTCTAAAAGTTGTTACTTTATTAAAATATATATATATATATATATATTTACTACGTAATGTCATTATAAAATTAAATTAATCTGTACAAATACTAGCTTGGTATTATTGGTATAAATAATAGGTATATGTTTTTTAAATATAGTAGGGAATTGTGCCACTACTACTACTACTAAATAGTTTGAAACAGACTAGACAACCAAATAAAATAATATTATAAAGGATTTATGTATGTATTTATTTCTTTATTTATTTGTGTGTACTGTAATTATTAAATTAATTCATCTGTGCAATACCAGCATGGTATTACTGGTGTAAAAAAATGGTATACATTTTCAAACAGAGTAGGGAATTTAATGAATGAATGAATAGGTTGACAGAATGGAGAGCAGATTAAAATATCATTTAAAACAATTCATTTATTTTTAAAATGATTTATTTATTACATAATGTCAGTATGTAATTACATGTATTTGTGCTACCAGCTTGGAATAATTGCTATAAATAAAAAAATGAATAAATAAAAATAAAAATAAAAAAATTATATATAGGCCTATATAAAATTGTGTGCGTGAAACAATGGTGAGCAGATAAAGCAGTATTTTAAACATTTTTTTTATTTTTGTTTAATTTGTGTCATTTCCATTTACAATGTTTTTTTTATATAAATGACTAATCAAATTACAAAATATATATTAAATGTATGATAGGCCTGACTCTCTTTCTCTAATTTGGACATGAAATGCAATTATAACTTGCCTTTAGCTCCGCTGCGGCGTCTGCTGGCATTTAAACAGTTGTTGTAAGAGACAGGTGAGATTGTGAGGTGAAGGACTGGACAGGTGCATTTAGCTTGCAGCTGAGGTCTGCTAAAGCTAGCCTCTTATGCTCACGGCGTGACCTACTTCTGTCCGTTTCTGAGAAAAACAGTGTCTGGAAAAGAGGAGAAAAGGAAATTTTAAAGGAGAAAGTTATTATTATTTTTTTTTACTTAAAAGCCATTAGAACTGGACACATACTGTGTGTTTGCTGCTTCATCTGCAAATTTCTAAAGCCCAGTGCCAGGACCCAAGCAATGGATTATGGGAGTTGCCAGCGCTCTTATGAAAGAACGTCACATGCTGCTTACTAAGGGCGGAAGAGTCCGTGTCTCTTGAACAGATGTTGTTTAATAGGGGCTTAGCTTCTGTAAACACGTCCTCTGGCCGCAAAGTGCGTCTATTGAGTCGTTTGCATTGGACTGATGTGTAGACGCTTCCACTGCTGTGTGTTTATCTCATCCTAATGTGGGTTTCGCAGTAAGAACAGCAAAAAAAGAGAGCTATGCGCTCAGAGAGGAAGATAACAGAGGTACTGGACAACAGAGGGCTAAATCAGCTGCATAATATGGGCAGTATCTCATTCTGCAAAGCTTGTATAACAAGCCAAAGCCTCCAAACGGGTTCTTGACATAATTGAAGCTTGTTTCAATTTTTGGGACTTGTTGTGTGTGCTGTTGGAAACACATTAAAATGAAAAATGGCTCTCAAGCTAACTCGACAATTGATGAAGGTGCATTATTATGAGAGGAATAAACAAAAGCTCTTAAAGGGATAATTCACTCAGAAATGAAAATCTGTCCAATTTTTGGGACTTGTTGTGTGTGCTGTTGGAAAACACATTAAAATGAAAAATGGCTCTCAAGCTAACTCGACAATTGATGAAGGTGCATTATTATGAGAGGAATAAACAAAAGCTCTTAAAGGGATAGTTCACTCATTAATGAATATCTGTCATGATTTACTCTTTATTCTGCAGAACACAAGCAGCATTATTTAGGGCAATATGGATCACTTTTATGTTTTTTTTTTATTTTTATAAATTCACAAAAGAAACACTAGGGTGCACATAAATGACATAATTTTTTATTTTGGGTGAACTATTCCTTAAAGTACTTACGTTGTCCTGTGCTCATATTTTCCATTGCATCAAGCTGTGGTGCTCATATGGGTGACATGAGTTCAAATCCAGCTGGCAACACTTCCTGATATCCATCCCCTCCATTATTTCTTGTGCCAAAAATGACTACAATGCAAAGAAAGACAAATTTAGTGAAGTACTAAAGAACTGCTGTCAATACAGTAAAACACGTCTTTGATTGTCTCCTACTTCGTCTACTGTTTAAGGCCCAAACTATGCTACGTTTTTGAAAGCGCACATTAGCGTAAGTGTATAGTCGAAGACGTAGTCTTTCAAAGTATACTTTATTAGATAGTGTGCTCAAATGCAGGCGGTCGACACGTGTGCTCATGCGCGCAAGTTATGACCGATAAATATGTCTTTGTACTGTAGTTAAACTAAAGTTGCGACTATCTAACTCGCTCTCTCACGCTTGTCGATGTGGGCGTCTGTTTTTATTATTTCAGACTCCGGTATTTTGCTGCTGTTTTTGTTCCGCCTCTTTAGTTTCATTTTCTACTGAGATACAATGGCTTGGGCCAGTGTTGCCACCTTGGTGATTTGCGATAAACTCAATGCGCGTGTGCGACTTGGGCATACAAAGTACGCTTGGTTAGAAAAATCAGGTTGTAAGCATACAGTACGTGCATACTATTCTAGTGACAAAATTAGCGTCACATGCACTGTAAACGGATGCTCGCGTACGCGTAAAAAACGAAGTACAACTCTGCAAATGACGCTTCAATAAACTCCGCCCCTTGGTAACTGTAGCTTATTAAGACAGGCTTTATGGAACATCCTATGAGAACGAATGAATAGCAATGAGTAGTAAATAATAGAAGATTTGTAAGCAACACAGTTTCTGTGGTAACAGTTGCTAAGTAATGCTTTTAAAGAGATGATGATGTCATGTCATTCCAAACCAGTTTTGTCTCTACACTCTTAAAAAACAAAGGTTCTTTTTGGCATTGATGGTTCAATGAAGAACCTTCAACATCCATGGAACCTTTCCATTCCACAATATTGGAAAAATGCTCTTCTCGAAGAACATTAAAATATTCTTCATCCTAAGAAAAACATGGTTCTTTTAAGAATGGTTCTCTGAAAGGTTCTTTGGGCGAACTAAAATTGGTTCCTTTTGGAGCCTTTATTATTAAGATTGTAAAATGGAAGTCAGTAGGAAGAAATGCATGCATAAGTAATGCCAGAATTTCCATTTTTGGTTGAACCATCCCTTGAACGTGGGGCTTGATCTCCAAAAACGCTGAAATGTTTTGACCCCCACACAAAAGCAGACGTCTCAGAGGTGATTGCCGACATGCATCCCTACGTTCATCCTCCAAAGGGAGCTCATTATGTGGCTGTTGAGCATCATCTCCTGTTCCATGTCTAATCTGGGCCACTGCAGCTTCTCATATTCCAGCTTCTTCAGCGGAAGAGTCTTCTTCGCACCCGCTCCTGACGAAGGGTGGCTGCTATCCAGGGCTCTAACAGGAACAGAAATGAATAGATTAAATACTGCACGAGTTCGACAGAACCTGCTCTACTGTGTTTATCCCACTTCCACATGCAATAAACAAGCTGCACTTTTGAATTTACGCTTGAGAATGGTATTAAATAAATGAATAAATTAAATCATTCTCATCCAAATAAATACATTTGGAAATGCATGAAATTACTCTTGGAAATGACAACACGGCTCCCTCTGTTTGCCACAGTGTGGATAGAGACAGACAGTGACCCACTTATAGTACATTGAAAACCATGCATCACACATTTGCATACAGAGTCCGAAATGAACACTTACCAAGTGCCAAATGTGAGTAAAATGTTGGAGATGGTCATAATTTAAAAAGAAAATGTCACGATATATTTGCTTTCAATCCATTTCAAGCATGTTTATTGATTATAATCCGAATCTTGATTGTATTGTTCACATTATATAATCTGAATCTTGCTTATATTGTTCACATTCAACCACTACAATGAAATTCTGTGGAATGAGATCACATATGCAAACACTGAGGACGTCATGGCAGATGTCCAAACCGTCATGGATTTGTTTGTTTGTGTCAGAAAGCGAGTGTGTACTAGTTCCAGGAGCTGAGGGAGTGTGTTCATGAGTGTTAAAGATAAAGGTACGGTGTGTGACGGATGTGTTTGGACGCTGTTGTGGCCAGGATGTGATGAACAAGCGCTGAGATCAGCATGTTAGGATGTCCACTAATCCTAACATGTTTGATCTTCTCCTCCAACCAGCTTGACTCAAGGACACACACACACACACAGGTTTGTTTTTCTGAAAAGTGGGGACATCCCATAGGCGTAATGGTTTTTATACTGTACAAACTGTATGTGCTATTGCCCTACACCAACCCTACCCCTAAACCTACCCCTCACAGGAAACTTTGTGCTATTTCAGACTTTCAATACACTCCATTCTGTGTGATTTATAAGCGTTTTGAAAAGTGGGGACATGGGGTAATGTCCTGAAAAGTCAACTTCTCCTTGTAATACCTATGTCATACCATTGTCATTATACAAATGTATGCACACACACACACACACGTGGATGCCATTTGATTCATGAATTAATCTTTTAAATCTGTTCACCAAAAAGATTCATTCAGATTTGTTCATCACCAGTTGGTAATGACAAATGATAGCCTTCGAGTGATTCACTAAATCTTTCACTCAAACGATTCTTTAAAAAAAACATATTTCTTGACAGAAACAAATTAACTACAGTAAATATTGCAAATAATGGAGTGAACAAAAAATATGAGTAAGTATATGGAATGATTCGTTTACTTAAAATATTATTTCAAAAACAGTTTTGTTAGCAAATAAAACCCCACTAACGGATTCCTCCTCACATATGCTCTCTCTTTTTTAAAGCTTTTGATTGACAGCAGTGTTTAGCGAAGCTTTATATAGCCTGTGCTTTATTTGACCTCAGTCCCAGCGGGATGGTTCGCTTGTCAGCTTGATGCGCGAGTAAACTTCTGTTTATGATGTTTTCCGTATGTGCATTTGTTTTGTGGTTTTGTGGCTTATGCTTGCAGAGAACATGTCACGGGTTTCTAGGATGCGGCAGCAATCAGAAACGTGACACTCATTTATAGGAAAAGGACGTACACTACCGGCCAGAAGTTTGGAATGATTACATTTTGAAAAAAGACTTATGGTTACCAAGGCTTCATTTATTTCAAATATGATCAAATATCAATACTGTGAAATGTTATTACAAGTTAAAATAACTGTTTACTATTTGAATATATTTGCTAAAATGCTGTGATAGCAAAACTAAATTTTCAGCAAATATTACTAGAGTTTTCATGATACATGAGTTTAATATGCTTAATATTTTGTGAAAACCATGTACCCTACCATTCAAAAGGTTAGGGTAAGTAACAAAAAATAAAAGAAAGAAAGAAAGAAAGAGATTTATAATGTTACAGCAAATTTCCATTTGAAATATTTTGTTCATTTGAACTTTCTGTTCATCAAAGATAAAAGAGAAAGTATCATGGTTTCCACAAAAAGCAGCACAACTGTTTTTAATATTGATAATAATCATAAGAAATGTTTCTTGAACAACAAATCAGCATATTATAATGATTTCTGAAGGATCATGTGACACTGAAGACTGGAATAATGGTGCTGAAAATTCAGCTTTGCATCACAGAGATAAATTACATTTGAAAATATATTTAAAATAGAAAATAGTTATTTTAAATTGTAATAATATTTGGCAATATTACTGTTTCCTGTATTTTTTTATCAAATAAAATGCAGCCTTGGTGAGCATGCATGCATAAATAAATAAATAAATAATATTCCAAACCTTTGACTAATAGTGTACACATAGAATATGGTAAGTCATATGGGTTTGGAACTATATGAATTAAATATTTATTTTCGTGTGAACTGTTGCTTTTTAAGTCTTTAATTCCACTACTTGAAAAAATACATCACATCAGTAATCCTGTACATTGTTCTCCACCGTCAATATGATGTGTACGATGACAGATCAATATCTGGCCATTACTCTGAATCCAGAAATTGAGCTTGTGTTTCATGCACAAGTGCTTTGATTATAATTCTAATTAAAGTAAGTTAATCAGCGTATAGGGACACGACGACCTAGTGTGCATGTAATTCAGTAACACAAGTTTCACTGCACGAGTATCGCTAGCAGTTAAATCAATGTCATCTTTGCTTTGTGTCGCTTCATCCGGATGGGCTATCAGGTTCATCTGCACACAAAAATATAAATGCAAACAGGCAGAAACTGACGTCGACAGTCAAATAAAACGAAGTTGAAAAAATACATCACATCAATAATCCTGTACATTGTTCTCCACCGTCAATATGATGTGTACGATGACAGATCAATATCTGGCCATTACTCTGAATCCAGAAACTGAGCTTGTGTTTCATGCACAAGTGCTTTGATTATAATTCTAATTAAAGTAAGTTAATCAGCGTATAGGGACACGACGACCTAGTGTGCATGTAATTCAGTAACACAAGTTTCACTGCACGAGTATCGCTAGCAGTTAAATCAATGTCATCTTTGCTTTGTGTCGCTTCATCCGGATGGGCTATCAGGTTCATCTGCACACAAAAATATAAATGCAAACAGGCAGAAACTGACGTCGACAGTCAAATAAAACGAAGTGACAGCATAATAGAGAAGTGAGAGACAAGGAAGTTATGAAAGAGAACAAGCTGGCATTTGTTATGTCTGAATTACGCCAAGATTGCAAAGAGAGATGGAGCGCAGAGATATTCATAGAGCCGAGAAAGTGGGAGGGAGGCAGGAAACTCTATTGTGCTCACTTTAACAAGACAAGGGAAGAATAAAACGGAGGAAAGGGTGAATGCAATGGCCTAAAATTTGCCAACCCACTGTCACTTCTCTAGTCAGGCCCAGTATTTATCGCTTTTCCCTTTGCGTGACTCATCATACCGATCGAGGCGTTGATTTGACAAAAGCTATTGAAGTCATTTCAAGTCACGCTTTCTTTCCCAGTTTGGCACTTTTTGGGGAGAGACGAGCGCGGATGACAGTCAATCAATTGCGAAACGCTAGCCGAAGTGACGTTTTTCTGTTGTTACATGACCCCCCTAGGATATGACTTGTTCTTTGTTTCGCTATCATTTATCATTCAGCTCACTCTGCGTGAGCGTTTTGTTCATTTGGACGCGTTCGCTTCTTGTATCTGCTGTTTAGAACAGAGCACTCGCAATTTCATGTAATTGTAATCTAATAAAGAGATGGATCTCTCCGTCTTCTCTTTCTGCTGTGACTCAGATGTGTTTCATGAGATCCACTCACATCTTTGCACCTTCCAATCTGTTAATGCACTTGCAGGAAGTGTCGTGTTTGGATCATGACACCGAATTGTCCAAATCATGAGTTGTGAAAGGGCTTTAGTGCCCACGCCACACTAGTGAGTCTTATATAAACATGAGTGCAAATTTTGATAATAAATATGATAAAAAATCTTTTGTCTCCCACACTCAAGTGCACCATTCACTTAACCTTGTGTTGGTGGTCCTGTGAAGCTCCAAATTCACACTCAACTTAAACCTTATTTGCTTTATTAGTACTTTTACTTAATTGCTGGTCGTGTATTCCAAAGACCACCCATATTAAACAGATATTAAATCAGATACTGATCATTAATGTAATGGAAATTAACCAATAAAAAAAAAAAAAATAATAATAATAAAATAAAATAGAAACGGGCATGCAAAATTAAGACATAAAAAATATACAAAATGTATAAGTTTAAAAAAAGTAAACAAATACCTGCCAATAACTGATATGGTACTGATATATTGTGCATTTCTACCAAACATGAAACATATTTTGGTTGAAGCCATAGTGTAAAAAGTAGTACACTTAAAAATAATAAAATAAAATGAAATTAAGAAATATAAAAAATATATTTTTATGAGTAAATAAATACCACTAACTGATATGGCACCGATGGGACACTTGCTCACAATGAACAAAACAAAACAAAACAAAACAAAACAAAAAATAAAATAAAATAAAATAAAATAAAATAAAATAAAATAAAATAAAATAAAATAAAATAAAATAAAATAAAATAAAATAAAATAAAATAAAATAAAATAAAATAAAATAAAATAAAATAAAATAAAATAAAATAAAATAAAATAAAAAATAACTAAATGTAAAAATAGAACAAATAGCATGCAGAATAAAACAATATGAAAAACATCTTTATTTTCAAATTAATAAATAAATAAATCAATATAACTGGTATAGTACCAGTGTATAATGCATCTCTACTAAATAAATTTGATTTACCAAAATATTTGCAAAATATTGGCAAGTTTTACACTTGCTTACAATGTATAAAAAAAAACAAACATAAAATGACAAAATAAATATAAATATATGCAAATGTGGTAAAAAAAAAAAAAAACTTGCTCTAAAACATGGTGAAAATTAGTACAATTGCTTACAATGTACAATGTATACAAGCTGTTGGTTTGATATTATGAATGACCTAAAGTTAATAAGAATTGTGTTTACTGAGAAGAAAATTTAAATATCAATATTTGCATTAGAGAAGAGAGTGAAGAAAACAGTTTTTGTTATTTCAGAGGCAGTTCTTTATAAGAACAGACAGCGTCCTGATCTCTCATACACAAATATTCAAACAGACACTTGGCAGCACCTTCCTATAAACAGCACCATGGCTCCAAATTACATAAGCGATTCCAAGAAGAGAAAGAAAGAGAAAGAACTGTAAGAGCATTTTTAAGCTTTGTGCTTTCCTCATCTGGCTAAGCTTTAACCAAATTATCCTAATGAGCTCCGCCAAAAAATCAAATCTCTCAATCTTCCTCTTTCCCCCAGCCCATTATGCACCTTTCCAACCTGCCCAATTCACTCAGAGTTCATTTATTGCTACGATTTGTCGAAAAGGCTTTTTCAAAATCAATTATCTATTTACCCTGCACTCTCATTGGAATAAAGGCTTGTTAGATGCAGTTCCCGTCACTGCCATCGGTGTTGGAAATGGAGCTAATGAATGCTAATGCATGCTAATAAATGCTAAATGGGCCGATCTATTAGAGACCAGGCAGCAGTGGCTAGTGACACCATCCTCACACAAAATAAGACACAAATGCATAGAGGCCACGCACATTATCTGTAACCCTAAACACATGCTATTAGTTTTACAATAATGACCAGAATTACTCAGCGAACAGATGAATGGGTGGTATTGTGTAGTGGTTAAGGAGATGGGCCGAGCTACAACAAATATGACAACAAAATATTTAAAATTGTCATTTTAGATAAAGACTAAATGACAAATTAGTTTTCTGTAAGCATGGAGTTCAACATTATATAGGGACAATTGTGTCATCATTAACACCACATTGCTAAAATTCACCTAAACGTATAAAATGATGTGGAAGTTGAAACTCTAAAGACAACATGCTACTCAAAATAAGGTAGTTGAACTAAAATATGGTTGAAAACATAATGGAAAATTGTTTAGCAGATTGTTTTTGAGCGGGTTCATTTACATGAAAAACCCAAATGAATCGAATCACTAAAATGAAGCAGAATTCCCAAAAATAAATATTGTTAATGATTACAGGTCGATGTAAACTCAATACTCTATGCATAGGAAAACCGCTTAACCCAGCCTAAGATGGTTTTCTGGTCTTATTTGGGTCTCCTAGTCTAGTCAGGTTGATCTGTTTGATAATTTGAACATCATTCAAATTATGTTTATCACACCAGATTTTTCAACTGAACATTTATCTAGGTGTGAGCAGGCCTTTAGCAGGCTAGCAAAACCAACTGAGCCAGGCTGGGAGAATCTCTTAAACTTGTTAAGACCAACAAACCACTGTAGGCTGGTTTAAATGTGACAAAAACCAATAGCATTTTAACCTACCCTGCTAATTGTCTAGAAAATTAGTTTACTAGAAAAGTTACTAAGTTTAAAAAAGCTAATATTATGCTACTGTAAAATGTAGCTAAGTTAGCCTAGCATCTTTACTTATAGTGAGAAAATGTAAGCGCATGGTAAACCCAGCACTCATAAATGTGACAAAAACAATAGCTTTTTAAGCTAACCTGCTAATTGTCTAGAAACGTAGTTTGTTGCTGTAATAGCTAAGTTACTATGAAAACAGTTTAGTTAATATGACGCTACTGTAAAATGTAGCTAAGTTATCGTAGCATCTGTACTTTTGGTGAGCTGAGCAGCTGATATTCACAGACGATTCCAAAAGCATAAATCCTGCACACAGACACACAAAACAAACAAGTACAACTGTTTGCTAACCGCTATGTCAATGTACGCCGAGGGTCTGTTGTTGCCGAGTAAACCCTGCACTCTCTATGCGTGTAGGCCACATAGATCAGCCTCGTGCAGTGTCTTAAAAAGCCGTAGTGAAATATGAGGGAATCTTCTGCTTGCGCTGATGAATGAGCTTGCCGCTATTATTGAGGTCCTGCTCCGCTGTTCCCCTCCACAGAACGCAGGCTTGTGTACCCAGCACAGCGGATCATTGGCAAATTTAATTACCTTTCTGAGAGCTCTTCAATCACACGGATTAGTGTGTGTGTGTGTGTGTATGTGTGTCTGTGGGGGAACAGAGAGAGAGAATGACAGAAGTGAACTTGCAAGTGTATATTTTTAGAAGGTGTGTGTGACACTGTGGAGGCAACTATTCCTGTGGACGCAATGAAAAACTCCTCGCTGCTCTAATAAAGTCTCACAGAGCAACATTCCCAGAGGCTCTCTGACTGATCCAGTGCTTGTGATGGTGATTCACTCTAAATCCATAAGTTTTTAACTACTGTTGAGATTTAATATAGCCTGAGGTCACTGGTAATATGTACGACCAAACACATGTGAAATCTCAGAAACTCAACAGAAAGTGACTCATATTTCCACTCATTAAGTTGTACATATCACACATCCCATGTGTTTTCTTTATTAAATATTTTGGCTGATTTAATTATGCGTTCAATTACCAAGTGAAGTACTTTCAAATAAAAATTATTATAATCCCACACTTCTTCCCCCCAAATATAACAGTAGCTAATTATGCTGCCTTCACGTGCTATCGCAAATTTCCTATTACCCACTTGTGAAGTCGTGATTGCGAACTTGTCGCATTCAAGTGCTTTGTTATCAGGAAGAATAAAATGTAGCATCCCATTGGTCGACAACTACATAAACTTGCACCGCGCTAGATAGTCAGCTTGCTGACAATTCTGGAATTTCGGTGAAATACATGCTTATTTCAATGTTTATAAAACATACAATATGCTTCAAATGATTGTTCATATATAGCCTATAAACACTACTTTAGCGACAAAGTGATGTAGTTGTTATGGAAATAACTAATAAAGAATAGCATTGACAGCAGCAATGGTTGTCCCCTCCACCATGTTTAAAGTTTATGTCCCGTCCAACTCAGAAACTCGGGTATCAAAATTATTATTGTTTCCCAGTAGTAAATACGACTTGAGAGGCCGTTCACATCCAATTTCTGATTAGGAAACTTGTATTTACAATAATTTCAATATCACGTGAAGGCAGCATTAAAGTCTGTTAAAGTACTACTAAACAAACAAGCAAAAATCTAATCATTTTTGAAAATTTTCGCAAACCTAGTCTGACTAATATTTTTAACAAATTAGATAAAATATACATTTAAACCAAATAACCTAATAATTAAAAAAATTTAATAATAAGCATAAAATATATTTGTATTTTTTTCTACATTTAATCATTGTTTCGTATAAAGCTACTTAAACTACTACTGTACAGAAAAATGACTTAACTGTCATGCTGTGTTCTGGTCCTTTTGATACAGAGAGGATTTTCTTTTTCCTGAACATGCTTACAGAGGGTATAACAACTTCCCAGGGGAAAAAAATAAATAAATAAAAACTTTTTTTTGTACTTTTTTGGGGGATTTTTTTCCCTCCCACCTTTTTACACAACCTACAAAAATTGTGTATAATTGTCTTATGCTATATTATGACTAAATATCGTAGGCCTCATTGATCTGAGTCTATGCACCTCAGTTTTTGAGTGAACATGCAGGTTATTTTGTTCAGATAGTCTGGTGTCTATGCATGAATGTGTGTGTGTGGTTAATAAATTCCAGGATTCTGAAGGGCATCTTCCTCTTTAAGCATGAGAGTGAAAAGTGTTTCTCTTTGGCACATGTCCTTGCTTTAGTGAGACGTGGTTCTCTGTCTGAAGACCTTTATAAACAGCTTACGAGCGCATTTCTCATGTCTCTCAAATATCCCCCTCAGTTCACACACACACACACACACACACCTCGTCTCTTCCTTTTTAAACTGTTCCGGTGTCCATCTCACTCTGTTGTGTTCTGTTCCTGCCTTTGTTCTTCCTTTTCATGTGCTTTTTTTTTCTCTTTCTGTCCTCTGATACTTGGTTCAGAGTGCCGGTCACATCGGCTTTTCTAATTACAGTTGTGACAGAGAAAGAAAAGCCACCTCGTAATCAGTCCCAGGTAAGAGGGATGATGGGAAATGGAGTCCGAATGGAAGATCGCTAATACTCTGGGGACAGCTCCCTCTGGTGGTGCGGAGGAGGCGGTACGGGAGCCTCCTCTGTAACACCTTTCTTGTACCTCGTCTATTCCCCTTTAAACTGTTCCGGTGTCCATCTCATTCTGTTGTGTTCTGTTCCTGCCTTTGTTCATCCTTTTCTTCTTTTCATGTGCTGTTTTTCTCTCTTTCCGTCCTCTGATCCTCGGTTCAGAGTGCCGGTCACATCGGCTTTTCTAATTACAGTTCTGACAGAGAAAGAAAAGCCACCTCATTTTCTTTCACTTTTTCACTCCCTGTCCTTAGAGGATCTGGATCCCTGTTTGGCAAAAAAAAAGAAAAAAGGTCATAACGGTGTAAGGTGGTCAGGCTGGTTTTGGTAGCTCATTTGTTGCAAACCAAACCAACTTGACCAAAATGGTCTGTCAGCTGAAAACCACTTAGTCCAGATAATCAACCATCTAGACCAGCAAAACCTGGAATTTCCAGCATGAATCTGATCAGGACTGACAGCACTGACTTTTCATTTATGTGGGTTTTATCAACATGCCAACGCGTAAAAGAATAATTCACTCACAAGTAAAAATACTGTCATCTTTACTCACCCTCATGTCATTTCGACTTCATATTTTCTTTATTCTCTGAAACACAAGGAGTTTTTTTGCTAATTCATGCTCTTCTGTGTGCACTGCTTGTATGTGTAACTCCTTCTCAGCTGCTTTTTTCCCCATGTCCCCGAGCTTTGCTGTGAAAGCATTCTGGTGTGAAATGGCCAACAGGAGAGAGATATTAATCCAGCAGCTCTCATCTCAGGTACTAAAGTGAGAAGCTCACCAGCACTGTGCTAACATTAGGATATTTTGGTTCTTCAGGGTTCATCTCGTTCTGCTGGTTTATGTCTAATATTACAATTAAATTCAGTTCAATTCAAGTTTATTTGTATAGTGCTTTTCACGATACAAATCGTTGCAAAGCAACTTTACAGCAAATTAAGTTTCTACAATATTTAGTGGTAGCTTATCAGTGGTGACTGTCAGTTAATGTACATATGGCAGAAATGTACGGAAAAATCAATTAAAGACGTAATCAAACAGACGATGAACTCATTTTATCAAAACCTTTACTCTGAAAAGAAAAAAGATGAGAGAGTTATGGGTGATTTCCTTTTTAAAAGTGTTGTTGAACAAAATTTTTCAACTGCGATGGATAAAGAGTTCACGATTAACGACCTTACAAAAGCATTAAAGAGTATGAAAAGTAATAAAAGTCCAGGTGTAGAAGGCCTGCCTAAAGAATTTTATGAAAAATTTTGGGAGGAGTTAAGTGAGACAATGCTGAAAATGTTTAAAGAAAGTTTTAGTCTAGGTGTACTTCCCCCAACATTGAGAGAGGGTATTGTCACTTTGTTATTCAAAAAGGGAGATAAATCTGATCTAAAGAATTGGCGCCCTTTGTCCTTACTGGGCACTGATGTGAAGATATTGTCAAAAGCGATTTTTTTTAGACTCCAACCCAGTATGGAAAGTTTAATCGGGAAGGAACAAACATGCGGGGTAAAAGGTAGATCCTTACATCAGAATTTGTCTTTAATAAGAGATACGTTCCTTTACACACAGGATCGAAAATTACCTTTATGTGTTGTGGGATTAGACTTAGAAAAGGCTTTCGATAGCATAGATCACATTTTCTTACGTAAAATGTTACAGAGTTATGGTTTTGGGGAATCAATTCTTAGATGGATCAATTTATTATACACTGGATGCCAGAGTTGCATATTGGTGAATGGCCATCTAACACCACCTGTTACTGTCCGTTCAGGAGTGAGACAGGGATGTGGTTTATCTCCTTTACTCTTTGTATTAGCCATAGAACCATTAGCCCAAGCTATTAGGCAGAGTGCTGAATTAAAAGGATTATTAATACCAGGGAGCTTAGGTAAGGAAGCAAAATTGTCACTTTATATGGACGATATCACCCTGTTACTTTCGAATAACCATTCAGTAGAAAGAGCATTACAGTTATGTGAGCTTTTTACATTGGCGACTGGTATGAAAATCAATAAAAGTAAAAGTGAGATTTTATACTTAAATTGGACGGAACCCAAATTTAATTTTGGATTGAAAATCCAAGACAAAGCCATTAAAATATTAGGGATGGTGTGGTGTAGAGATATGGAAGAAAGGAACTGGAATCCCAGATTACAGCAAATAGAGTGGAAAATAAAACAGTGGGAGGAAAGAAATCTCAGTTTTCAATTCAATTCAAGTTTATTTGTATAGTGCTTTTCACGATACAAATCGTTGCAATGCAACTTTACAGCAAATTAAGTTTCTGCAATATTTAGTGGTAGCTTATCAGTGGTGACTGTCAGTTAATGTACATATGGCAGAAATGTACGGAAAAATCAATTAAAGACGTAATCAAACAGACGATGAACACTATTAACAGCAATTATTCTATGATGCAATCAAACTTATAGCAAAATTTGGTAGTTCTGTAAGTTGTTTCAGGGTTGGCATCATCTGAGGTCCTCAACATTACATACAACATATTACAACAGGATCTAATTAGTATTGTTTGGTATTTGAACATAAAGTAGGGTTCTAGCACACATACAGTACATTTTTGACAGTAAATGTATTGACAGCATCTAACAATGCAATCCCTGATCTAATTTTTATATATTTTGTATGTTTCTGAAAGGCTTATGCTCCCTAAGGTGACTTTTATTTGATAAAAAAAAGTAAAAACAGTAATATTGTGAAATAATATAACAGTTTAAAATAACTTTTAATACTGTATTTTCTACATGAATAAGTGCTCAAATGTAATTACTCCTGTCTTCAGTGTCACATGATATTTCAGAAATCATTCTAATGTGCTGATTTTGTGCTCAATTATTAGCAATTATTGTTGATGCTCAATTATTAAAAATGGTTCTTCTTATTGTTATTTAAATGTTTTATTAAAATGCTTTAAATGTTTACATTTTATAAATATTTTTATGCTTTAAATGTTTTTTGAAGTTTTAACTCATTGTTTTTGCTACTTTGCTATTTGCTATTTTTGTGGAAACATTTATTTTAAGAATAAAACGTTCAATTACCAGCATATAATTTGTAACATTTTAAATGTCTTTACTGATCAATTTTGATCAATTTAATGCATCCTTGCTGAATAGAAGTATTAATTTCCTTTTTTGTTGATGTAAATCTTACTTTAGACTTTTGAATCGTACCTTATCATGTTTCCACAAAAATATTAAGCAGCAAAATTGCTTTTTAAACATT